GCCACGTTATTGTGACTCATCGCCTGCACAAGGCCTACTTGTGCTCGTGGACTTTCTAGTCGTGCGTTTGGACTTTTTTTCAAGTGTAGTTGGTTTCCGATGGTCATTGTTGGATTCCCCCTCTTGATCTAATTCTTGTTGGCTTCTTATAATATATTCTGAACTGTTTTCTTTACATAGCCATGTTTGGCTTCTTTGATATAAATGATGTTGGATTCATGTTACTATAGGCGTAGAGGAATTCTTGTTTTAATCTCCCTTCTTTTTATCTAGAATTTTCTTGTTTCTGTATTTCTTCCTGTATCTCCTGCCTTCCTTTTCCCACCTGTGCTGCCTCTGCCCTCACCCTCCCCCCCCACCACGCTGCCTCTGCCCCCACCCTCCCCCCACCATACTGTCAACTTGACCATTCCGTCAACCACCATCAGTAAAGGTTGGTAATGTAATGCTTGAGTATAAACTATCATCCACACTAGACCCTCACACACTGTGGGGGGGGGGGGGGGGGGTTCGCGGTTCGATCCTCGTAGAGCCCAGGCGAATATAATACACGAGTCTTGCTCCGGGTTACATATTCTCTCGCCCAACGCAATAACATCCTATATATATCCCCATATCTGAACACTGATTTTCAGATATCCGATTCCCGTATCCGGACATAAACATTTTTTCTTCATATACAGAGATATATCTGGCGACTTGATACAACCCCCATACTCCTCCGGATTCTCTCGTATCCGGATACAGATTTCCGTACTAGAAAAACCGGCCAAGGTAAGCATGGAGGGAGGAAGCCGGGAAAGTTGCGTCCGGTTGGCCCTGATTTATTAAACAATGCACAGTGCAAATGGGTCGTTAAGACGGGGCTAATTACCTCTGATGGGTCCGTCTGGTGGCTGGTTGTGTTTACCTTTTGGGGTGTTCTGGGGGGGGGGGCAGTGGTAAACAATGGGGGGGGGGGTCTTGGTGCAAGATAGAAGTGGCACTGGGGGGGGGGAGGGGTCACTAAAGAGAGGGAATTAGGGTACGAAAGGGAGTGAGATGGTACAGGGGTAGAAAGGGCTAAAACAGGGATAGAATTATCGGAAACAGGGATAGAGTGGGGTGAATCAGGGGATAGATAGGGCTAAAACAGGGGTGGTAGGGGCTGAAACGGGTGGAAGGGGCTGAAACAGGGGGTGGAATTGGGCTCGGTACTGAGGTGGAAAAGAGAGAGAGAGAGAGAGAGAGAGAGAGAGCGAGCAAGTGGGTGGTGGAAGTGGAATTTGTTACAGAATTATAAAGGCATGGAGGCCTCGCTCGACTGTTCGTAGAGTATAGTGACCTTGAGTGTGTGTACATACTCAATTTTAATAACTAATTCGTTTTGTTTGGGAAAGGAAGCCTGAATATATATAGATATATAAGGGGCACCACCCCTGGTTGTTAGAAGGGACCCTCATGCCTCCTAGAAGACAATATGGAGGTGAATACACTCCCTCAAGGTGTATATGGAGGTGAATACACTCACTCAAGGTGTATATGGAGGTGAATACACTCACTCAAGGTGTATATGGAGGTGAATACACTCACTCAAGGTGTATATGGAGGTGAATACACTCACTCAAGGTGTATATGGAGGTGAATACACTCCCTCAAGGTGTATATGGAGGTGAATACACTCCCTCAAGGTGTATATGGAGGTCCCCCCGAGGTGGAACTACTGACCCCCCCCCACCCCCATGATGCCACCATGCCATCATGGCGGCTTTGTTGGCATTGACTCGCCAGCAAAGTGAAACTGCGACGTTCTTTATAATAAAAATAATAATACCTTTGGCTGGTCAAGTTTGAAAGTTCATAAATTGTTTAATAAATGTATGAGAGCCAACATGATTGAGCAAGGATGTACAGGTTTCCCAAGTGCATCGAAAAAAGAATATTGGCTTTGGACTTCACGTCCTCCTCCCCGCCCCCGCCCCTGCCCAACCACTTGGGCTGGCGGTAGAGCGACGGTCTCGCTTCGTGCAGGTCAGCGTTCAATCCCCGACCGTCCACAAGTGGTTGGGCACCATTCCTTTTCCCCCCGGCCCATCCGTCCCATCCCAAGTCCTTATCCTGATCCCTTCCCAGTGCTATACAGTCGGAATGGCTTGACGCTTTCCCCTGATAGTTCCCTCCCAACCCCCCTCACACCAACCACGAAGCGGAAGCGACACTAACGAGCGGGTGAGGCATCTGAACACATCTGGAGATTAGATACGAGCCACTTCCGGCCACCTCCTCCAGACTCACGCTGTCAATCACCTGGTCACGCCAGGTGGAACGGCTCGAGGACTACAGAGTACACACATACACACCAGGTGAGTACACACCAGGGGGGGTCAAGCTCCCCTGGGGCGCACCCCTCCATGCCCCCCCTACACTACCCCTACCCTTATATAGCCACACCTCCCTTCACACGCCCCCCCCACCTCCATGTATATATGTATATACAAACACCTTGCACATATACGGCTTCATTGACAACTTTATCTGAAGCATGTGTATACACACACACACACACACACACACACACACACACACACACACACACACACACACACACACACACACACACACACACACACACACACACACACACACACACACACCCACACACACACACACACACACACACACACACACACACACACACACACACACACACACACACACACACACACACACACACACACACACACACCCACCCACCCACACACACAAAAAAGGGAAAAATCCGAGAAGCAACAAAAGAATCCATGGTATAATAGGGCATGTATGGAAGCGAAGAAACTGAACAAGAAGGCGTGGAGGAACTTCCGGAATAACAGAACACCAGAAAGCAGGGAGAGATACCAGAGAACCAGGAATGAGTACGTCAGGGTGAGAAGAGAAGCAGAGAAAATTTTTGAAAATGATATAGCAAACAAAGCCAAGACCGAACCAAAGCTACTCCACAGTCACATCAGAAGGAAAACAACAGTGAAAGAACAGGTATTGAAACTTAGAACAGGCGAGGACAGGTATACAGAGAATGACAGAGAGGTGTGTGAGGAACTCAACAAGAGGTTCCAGGAGGTCTTCACAATAGAACAGGGTGAGGTCACTGTGCTAGGAGAAAGGGAAGTAAACCAGGCGGCCTTGGAGGAGTTCGAAATTACGAGAGAGGAGGTCAAGAGACACCTGCTGGATCTGGATGTTAGAAAGGCGGTTGGTCCAGATGGGATCTCACCATGGGTACTGAAAGAGTGTGCAGAGGCACTTTGCTTGCCACTCTCCATAGTGTATAGTAAATCACTAGAGACGGGAGACCTACCAGAAATATGGAAGACGGCGAATGTGGTCCCAATATACAAAAAGGGCGACAGACAAGAGGCACTGAACTACAGGCCAGTGTCCTTGACTTGTATACCATGCAAGGTGATGGAGAAGATCGTGAGAAAAAACCTGGTAACACATCTGGAGAGAAGGGACTTCGTGACAAATCGCCAACATGGATTCAGGGAGGGTAAATCTTGCCTTACAGGCTTGATAGAATTCTACGATCAGGTGACACAGATTAAGCAAGAAAGAGAGGGCTGGGCGGACTGCATTTTCTTGGATTGTCGGAAAGCCTTTGACACAGTACCGCATAAGAGGCTGGTACATAAGCTGGAGAGACAGGCAGGTGTAGCTGGTAAGGTGCTCCAGTGGATAAGGGAGTATCTAAGCAATAGGAAGCAGAGAGTTACGGTGAGGGGTGAGACCTCCGATTGGCGTGAAGTCACCAGTGGAGTCCCACAGGGCTCTGTACTCGGTCCTATCTTGTTTCTGATATATGTAAATGATCTCCCGGAGGGTATCGATTCATTTCTCTCAATGTTTGCGGACGATGCTAAAATTATGAGAAGGATTAAAACAGAAGAGGACTGTTTGAGGCTTCAAGAAGACCTAGACAAGCTGAAGGAATGGTCGAACAAATGGTTGTTAGAGTTTAACCCAACCAAATGTAATGTAATGAAGATAGGTGTAGGGAGCAGGAGGCCAGATACAAGGTATCATCTGGGAGAGGAAATTCTTCAGGAGTCAGAGAAGGAAAAAGACTTGGGGGTTGATATCACGCCAGACCTGTCTCCTGCAGCACATATCAAGCGGATAACATCAGCGGCATATGCCAGGCTGGCCAACATACGAACGGCATTCAGAAACTTGTGTAAAGAATCATTCAGAACTTTGTATACCACATATGTCAGGCCAATCCTGGAGTATGCAGCCCCAGCATGGAGTCCATATCTAGTCAAGGATAAGACTAAACTGGAAAAGGTTCAAAGGTTTGCCACCAGACTAGTACCCGAGCTGAGAGGTATGAGCTACGAGGAGAGACTACGGGAATTAAACCTCACTTCGCTGGAAGACAGAAGAGTTAGGGGGGGACATGATCACCACATTCAAGATTCTGAAGGGGATTGATAGGGTAGATAAAGACAGTCTATTTAACACAAGGGGAACACGCACAAGGGGACACAGGTGGAAACTGAGTGCCCAAATGAGCCACAGAGATATTAGAAAGAACTTTTTTAGTGTCAGAGTGGTTGACAAATGGAATGCATTAGGGGGTGATGTGGTGGAGGCTGACTCCATACACAGTTTCAAGTGTAGATATGACAGAGCCCGATAGGCTCAGGAATCTGTACACCTGTTGATTGACGGTTGAGAGGCGGGACCAAAGAGCCAGAGCTCAACCCCCGCAAACACAACTAGGTGAGTACACACACACACACACACACACACACACACACACACACACACACACACACACACACACACACACACACACACACACACACACACACACACACACACTGTAAACACCTTCCATGGCCCCCCCCCACCTGAAGGGGGAGCGTCCCCATGGCTAAACATGAGCAAAGATTAATCTTTATTTGTCGGAAAAGTATAATTTAGTCTGGTAACGAGCGGTTGTTGTGTTTTAATTGTCGTTATTGGCCCGACTTCCGCCGCCAGCGCTGCCCGACACCTCCGCTACCTGTAGCCGCGTCCTCTGTGCTGCCTGGAGCTGCGTCCTCTGTGCTGCCTGTAGCTGCGTCCTGTGTGTTGCCTGTAGCTGCGTCCTGTGTGTTGCCTGTAGCTGCGTCCTGTGTGTTGCCTGTAGCTGCGTCCTCTGTGTTGCCTGTAGCTGCGTCCTGTGTGTTGCCTGTAGCTGCGTCCTGTGTGTTGCCTGTAGCTGCGTCCTGTGTGTTGCCTGTAGCTGCGTCCTCTGTGCTGCCTGTAGCTGCGTCCTGTGTGTTGCCTGTAGCTGCGTCCTCTGTGCTGCCTGTAGCTGCGTCCTGTGTGTTGCCTGTAGCTGCGTCCTCTGTGCTGCCTGTAGCTGCGTCCTCTGTGTTGCCTGTAGCTGCGTCCTCTGTGCTGCCTGTAGCTGCGTCCTCTGTGCTGCCTGTAGCTGCGTCCTCTGTGTTGCCTGTAGCTGCGTCCTCTGTGCTGCCTGTAGCTGCGTCCTCTGTGTTGCTTGTAGCTGCGTCCATTGTGTTGCCTGTAGCCGCGTCCTCTGTGTTGCCTGTAGCTGCGTCCTCTGTGCTGCCTGTAGCCGCGTCCTCTGTGCTGCCTGTAGCCGCGCCCTCTGTGTTGCCTGTAGCTGCGTCCTCTGTGTTGCCTGTAGCTGCGTCCTCTGTGCTGCCTGTAGCTGCGTCCTCTGTGTTGCCTGTAGCCGCGTCCTCTGTGCTGCCTGTAGCTGCGCCCTCTGTGCTGCCTGTAGCCGCGCCCTCTGTGTTGCCTGTAGCTGCGTCCTCTGTGCTGCCTGTAGCTGCGTCCTCTGTGTTGCCTGTAGCTGCGTCCTCTGTGCTGCCTGTAGCTGCGCCCTCTGTGCTGCCTGTAGCCGCGCCCTCTGTGTTGCCTGTAGCTGCGCCCTCTGTGCTACCTGTAGCCGCGTCCTCTGTGCTGCCTGTAGCTGCGTCCTCTGTGCTGCCTGTAGCTGCGTCCTCTGTGCTGCCTGTAGCTGCGTCCTCTGTGCTGCCTGTAGCTGCGTCCTCTGTGCTGCCTGTAGCTGCGTCCTCTGTGCTGCCTGTAGCTGCGTCCTCTGTGTTGCTTGTAGCTGCGTCCTCTGTGCTGCCTGTAGCCGCGTCGTCTGTGTTGCCTGTAGCCGCGTCCTCTGTGTTGCCTGTAGCCGCGTCCTCTGTGCTGCCTGTATACCAGAGAGCCCTCTGTTAAGAAAGGGAGAGAGAGAGTGAGAAAGAGGAAGAAAGTGATAATGAGAATGATTAATGAGAATGGTTAATACAAATTGTAAATAGATAATCTGCAAATAGCCTTGACTAATACGGTTGAGAGCTTTAACTTAGATACAAAATTCTTTACAAGAATTCTTTTCAAGAAAGTTTCTGCAACTGTGCTAATCTATTGTCAACTTTGTCTATGTAGGTAGGTAGTTACATATTTAAACTGACTGATTACTTAGCACCCATCTACATGGATTGATTATCTATCATCCATCGAAATAGAATGATTACTTCGCATCAACATGAAGAACGTCTTCTGCATGTGAGAGATGTTGCCACAGGGAACGAGCTGGGATCCGATGAGGGGAAAGCGAACTAAGTTATACAAAATGTGAAATACAGTTATTACCTAAAAAATAAAACTGTATAGTAGGATTTATGAAGAAAGGGAGTCGTCACATGAAGCAGCCGATAAGCTGGAATGGCGAGGCCGTGGAGCTAGAGCTCGACTCTTGAAAGTGCATCTAGTATGCGGGTAATGCACCGGTTAATATCAGCCCCCCCCCCCCTCCTGTGGTGGCCGCAGGGTGACAGGTGAGTTTGGCGGCAGGATGCACCCGTCACCCAACGTGGTTAGTTAGCTTTTAGGAGTTACCGGTACGTCGTAAGTTGCTGCCGGCGAGTCGTAAGCTCCTGCCGGTGAAGTCGTAAGTTGTTTCTGGTATATGTGGTCAATGTTGCAACTTACAGGCTGGTGTTTGGTTCCCCCGCCGTATCCTAGGTGTTTGGGCGCTATTCCTTCACTCAACCCTTATATGAATACAGTATATTCATAATATATTCATAATATATACGCCTTATATTGCACAAATACGTCGTCACGTCACGGTGTACGACACTTGACGTGTGGAGAAAAAATTATATACATTAGAAAGTGAAATCACAAACACGTGATAAATCAGTGAGAAAATCGTGGTCCGGTAGGTAACGCGTGCGTCCTGATTGGTCCAGTAGGTAACGCGTGCGTCCTGATTGGTCCAGTAGGTAACGCGTGCGTCCTGATTGGTCCAGTAGGTAACGCGTGCGTCCTGATTGGTCCAGTAGATAACGCGTGCGTCCTGATTGGTCCAGTAGGTAACGCGTGCGTCCTGATTGGTCCAGTAGGTAACGCGTGCGTCCTGATTGGTCCAGTAGATAACGCGTGCGTCCTGATTGGTCCAGGACCTCCAAACATTTTCCCGGCAACCTCAGGTTTTTGACGTGTTGTTAAGTTAACACTTTGACCGTTCTAGTGTTAGATAACAAAGATACAGCAATATACTGTATTATATAGATTACATTTGTAATAATTATGATAACGCTGATTATTTCAGAGAGTTATGAACATGGTGCCACCAGATTACCTTTCTTGATACAAGGACTTTCTCATCTTTGAATAGTGTTATCGCTCCTCATATCTCCAGGAGGCAAAGTGTTGACCCGATACACTGACCCGAGGAGCCTGGAAGTTTTCCAGAGGTATATCCAGAGGTATGCCAGCAGTATACTGTGGTGGTGAGAGTAGCAAGTGTGTAGCAGCGACCTCAGGGGGGAGTGAGATCTCTGTGCACCGGCTGCTATCCTTGGTTTACCTCTTGTGGCATCATTTTGGAACAGTGCGTGTTCACAGCCTGTTATGCTATACATGACGTTCGCCGTTTTGTTATAATTTTAATTGCAATATAACAACATACTGGAGCGAACGGCAGGCTGGGAAATGCAGGATAGAGCCATGGGAAAATAGAGGTGCCATAGGCACAGTCAGGGGAACTCCTAATGAACACCATCAAAGGTTCACGGGTGTTCAATACGCTCCCAATAAACTGGCGAAATATTGCCGAAACAAAGTAGATGTGTTCACGAATTAGACAAGTTCCTAGAAAATAGGGTCGGACCAGCCCGTATGGTCCGGAACTGCGGGTTGCTCACGCAACAAACTTTTGGACCAAGTTATCACAAGACAAGCTTGACCCCTGGCCGGACTTGGCGAGTAGAACTTCTCCCAGAGACCAGTTGCAGATATACCACTCCTCGTTTAAATTGTTTGTTGAGCCTGGCCTTAAAGCTGTGGATGGAGGTGGTTTCCTCCACTTCTTCTTCTTTGAGTGCATTCCATGTCCAGACCACCCGTACAGGGTACGAATATTTCTTGGCACATCTTCGACTCATTTGTGTTTGAGTGTGCCAGGTATGTCCTGCTGTCGTGTGTGTGTGTGTGTGTGTGTGTGTGTGTGTGTGTGTGTGTGTGTGTGTGTGTGTGTGTGTGTGTGTGTGTGGCAGTGGTGGTGCTGTAGGTGGTTATGAAGTTCACCATACTCGCCATTTCATCGAAGTGGGAAGAGTTAAGGATGTTAGTAATGATGAGTTGAGTTTTGGCAGTGTTTGGTGGTGGTGGGCCTGTGGTGGGAGAGAGCGAGAGAGAGAGAGAGAGAGAAGAGAGAGAGAGAAGCCCAACTGGCCCAGCTTTCGTATGGCCCACCGCCCACCTCCAGTCATTACAATGGAAATGAACCATGAATATGGATGAAGCTGGCGAATGAATGAAATATTTGGCCTGTCAGCCTATTGCTGCTTGCATGCTTTAGCCACGACCAAGCTATCGCGATTGAGGGCCACAACACGAGAGTCGCTGGAAGCTTGAGGGGGAGTCGTCCTACACACACACACACACACACACACACACCACACACACACACACACACACACACACACACACACACACACACACACACACACACACACACACACACACACACACACACACACACACACACACACACCACACACACACACACACACACACACACACACACACACACACACACACACACACACACACACACACACACACACACACACACACACACACACACAATAAATGCATATATATATCGTGGATAAACGTGTGAAGCGTTTGTAATTTAAATTGTAATATGATCAGCTTTATATTACGTATAATTACATTTTGTTTTGGACACTGCCTGGTAGGTGGTAGTTAAGAGGATGTGGCGTGCACTGCCTGGTAGGTACTACGGTGAAGCACACACACACTGCCTGGTAGGTACTACGGTGAAGCACACACACACTGCCTGGTAGGTACTACGGTGAAGCACGCACACACTGCCTGGTAGGTACTACGGTGAAGCACACACACACACTGCCTGGTAGGTACTACGGTGAAGCACACACACACTGCCTGGTAGGTACTACGGTGAAGCACACACTGCCTGGTAGGTACTACGGTGAAGCACACACACACTGCCTGGTAGGTACTACGGTGAAGCACACACACACTGCCTGGTAGGTACTACGGTGAAGCCGACAAGTGGGAAACAGCATGGCGCCACATTGTGTCACTACTTTGTCATCATTTAGTGATTACATATTTATTTCGATAATGGTGTAATAACTTAATTGGTTGTTAATTAATGCAGAAAGATTCGCCATGGACGAGGTGAGGAATGGTGGCATGAAAGAGATATGTGCAGTTTCAGTCCTGGGGGTGGGGGGTGGGGGGGTTGGAGTTGGATAGTCACAACCTCAACTATCCGCTGAGGTTGTAACTATCCAACCTCTTGGATAGTCACAAATCATACAGACGGGGCGGCCCCGGCCCCTATTACCTGTGTAGTACTGATGGTCTATCGCACCCCCCCGCCCTCCTCTGGTATCTTGGTGTATGCGTATCGCCCTGGTATCTGTTGGTATTCCCAGTATCGGCGGCGTATCGCAGCCAGAGGTCGCTTTTGGGTCCCTGCTCGCACTCGCCTTGGGACCCATACAGGAACAAGAGAAGGTGGGTGCAGGAGGAGGAGGAGAAGCAGGAGCTCCACCAGCAGCTGGAGCAGCAGCGCCAGCAGCAGCGCCAGCAGCAGCGCCAGCAGTACAAGCAACAGCAGCACCAGCAGCATGGCCACAATCAAAGGAGAAGGACCACCATTACCACCACCAAAAGTAAAAGGAGACACAGCAGCAACATTTGTATATTGAATATATCTGTGCTAATCGTTCAGCAGGCACATCTCCTGTGCCAGGTGAGTACGACGGGCTCACCATAGCCCGTGCTGCTTTCAACTTTTGGTTCCCAGTAGCTCAATCTAAAAAAAAAAAACGGAAACAATAGTTCAGCATAAATTCCTATACCAGTTCATGCTTTCCTTGTATTTATATATATACATATATAAGATTTTGCCTTACTCTTTTGACATGCTAAGATGACCAAGAGCAAGATAATGATTTATCCTCTTAAGCGTATTTCTGCAGTGTACCATACTGGGGTTTTATCTGGGTGCGTGTAACAATCATACTACCGTGTTGGAGAATGCAACGATGGTATCTCATTTGCATAATGTCTTGTGCAACATCTTGCAAGTCTGTGGCTCCCAGGTGCCGGGTAGTTGATTAAAGCTGGCGAGCTACTACGACTATCTCTTTATTAAGATTACCTCTTTATTACAACTGATAAACCTTTTATAAACCCTTTTATAACCCGGGCCGAGAGCTGGCGCCCCGTCGTCCACCTGACCCGTCTACTTGGCCTACTACCCGGATAAGCGGGACACCTTTGTCCTCTCTGTAAACACACCGTCGCTTAAAGAAAAAAAAAGGAACACCTCATGGGAGTTAGGCGCGAGTCTTGATCGCTGGCCGTATATTCGCCGGTGTGGACGAGAACCAGTTTCCAGGTTGCATAATCTCCTGGACTGGAAAGAGGCTTCCAACCAGTATTTAATAATCCATTTGACACATGTAGAAATCAAATCTACATTAGGTAATGTATTGGACAGAACGAGGCACTAGATTTGAATTATATAATTGAGTTGACAGGAGGCCCCTACTTATGCGTCGGTGTACGAGTCGAAGTCATTAAGAGTGGTGGTGGTGCGGGCTCGTCGGGGCCGTCTCGTGTGATACAGGTAAGGTTGTGTTTCATGTGATGGCTTGGGGAAGTGTCTTAAACTCAAGCCAAGACCCCAAGGGGGTCCTGGACGACTGGGTCTCTCTCTCAGCGTCCCAGCGACTGGCGGAGTCTGCCTCAGGAGTGGGCAGCAGCTCTTGTGCGGGTGCCGATGGACGCCGCACGAGGGGCATTGATTCCAAATCTTTCATCGGGGAGTTTCAAGCAATAAATTAGTTACGCTTTAACGAGAGGAATGCAAGCTCGACCTGAAATTCCATGGAACTCTACATATCACCTAAGCCCCAGAGTTTCGCTCAGGGGCGGTATCTGTGATAGGGATGCGTCCGATGATTAATGGTTAAAGGCGAAGCAGCTGGTGGAGGGGCCGCTGTCCAGTCTGGCACACAGGTCCTGCATCCCCGCATAGTTATGTAGATGAGGCAGCAGGAGCAGCACCACCATGCTGCCTGCTGCCCGCTGCTGCTGTTGCCTGCTGCCTGCTGCCCGCTGCTGCTGCCTGCTGCCCGCTGCTGCTGTCTGCTGCCTGCTGCTGCTGCCTCCTGCCTGCTGCTTCTGCCTCCTGCCTGCTGCTGCTGCCGCCTCCCGCCTCCTGCTGTTGCCACCTCCTGCTGCTGCCACCTGTGCTGCTGCTGCTGCCTGCTGAAAGCTGCATCATCCTCCTGCTGCTGTTGCATCACTATGATGCTCGTGGTGGTGGTGTTGTGTCTGTTGCCACCTTCTGTAATTGGTTTGCAGAGATGATGGCTGATTACGGTGATGACCACGATAGTGATAGTGAAATGTGATGGGGGTTGAGATGATGGTGGTGATGGTGGCACAGTTAACACTATATATACTGTAGTGACTACTGGTAAACTACAGGTAAAGAGGTGTTCTAGCTGTTCTGGAGCAGTTGTCTGTTCCTCAGCCCAGAAGACTGAGAAACGTGTTCCAATGTGTATTGGTTCACCGATCAGTAATTGTAGGGATCGACGTTATGGTTATTAGGTCAGGTTGTGGTTGGTTAGGCTAGGGTAAGGCTGCCTAGGTTAGGATAAGGCTAGTTAGGTTAGGTTAAAACTTGTGTTAGGCTAGAATATATTCGTGAAACTTAATCTGTGCTCCTCGAAGGGCCTGGTAGTCCAGCGGGAGGACCCCTAACAACCCTCGTGCTTGTTAAAGCTAACCCTCGTCCGCAGCCTCCACAAGCAACACAAGATGATTTCACACACACACACACACACACACACACACACACACACACACACACACACACACACACACACACACACACACACACACACACACACACACACACTAACCATCTGGAAAAGGTTCAAAGTTTTGCCACCAGACTAGTATCCGAACTGAGGGGGTATGAGCTACGAGGAGAGACTACGGGAATTGGACCTCACGTCGCTGGAAGACAGAAGAGTTAGAGGGGACTTGATCACCACATACAAGATTCTCTAAGGAGTTGATATGATAAAGACAGACTATTTAACTCAAGGGGCACACGCACCAACGGACACAGATGGAAATTGAGTGCTCATATGAGCCATAGAGACTCATATGAGAGTGGTTGACAAATGGAATGCATTAGGAAGTGATGTGGTGGAGGCTGACGCCATACACAGTTTCAAGTGTAGATTTAATAGAGCCCAATAGGCTCAGGAACCTGTACATCAGTCGATTGTCAGTTGAGAGGTGGGACCAAAGAGCCAGAGCTTAACGTACATACACATCATGTTCTTCACAACTTGATCAGCAAGCTTTAGAAGGAATATTTCTCCAAGTTACTGCTAAAATCTTGGAAGGTGTGGAGCTTTGTATCCATTGTGAGAGGCAAGAGGGGGCTCCTCTCATCTGGTATTCTCAGATGACACTTACTGACGAGCCAGAGAGAGTCCACCAATCATATCAAGTGTTTGCCAGCGTTGTTAGGGCTCAATTTGGCCATAGAATCGGACCAGTTAAGTGCTTACATTACCTCAAGTGGGAGCTTCAGACGATCGGATCCTTTTGCCTCCCTCCGGACGCTGCCCACCACACCATCGTGTTCTTCTACCATTGACGCTGCCCACCAGACTATTGGAGCCTACCATTGACGCTGCCCACCACACCATCGTGTTCTTCTACCATTGACGCTGCCCACCAGACTATTGGAGCCTACCATTGACGCTGCCCACCAGACTACCATCGACGCTGCCCACCAGACTATTGGAGCCTACCACTAACGCTGCCCACCAGACTACCATTGTCGCTGCCCACCTGACTACCATTGACGCTGCCCACCAGACTACCACTGACGCTGCCCACCAGACTACCATTGACGCTGCCCACCAGACTACCATTGACGCTGCCCACCAGACTACCATTGACGCTGCCCACCAGACTACCACTGTCGCTGCCCACCAGACTACCGTTGACGCTGCCCACCAGACTACCATTGACGCTGCTCACCAGACTACCACTGACGCTGCCCACCAGACTACCACTGACGCTGCCCACCAGACTACCACTGACGCTGCCCACCAGACTACCACTGACACTGCCCACCAGACTACCACTGACACTGCCCACCAGACTACCACTGACACTGCCCACCAGACTACCACTGACGCTGCCCACCAGACTACCACAGACGCTGCCCACCAGACTACCAATGACACTGCCCACCAGACTACCACTGACACTGCCCACCAGACTACCACTGACACTGCCCACCAGACTACCACTGACACTGCCCACCAGACTACCACTGACACTGCCCACCAGACTACCACTGACACTGCCCACCAGACTACCACTGACGCTGCCCACCAGACTACCACTGACACTGCCCACCAGACTACCACTGACACTGCCCACCAGACTACCACTGACACTGCCCACCAGACTACCACTGACACTGCCCACCAGACTACCACTGACGCTGCCCACCAGACTACCACTGACACTGCCCACCAGACTACCACTGACACTGCCCACCAGACTACCACTGACGCTGCCCACCAGACTACCACTGACACTGCCCACCAGACTACCACTGACACTGCCCACCAGACTACCACTGACGCTGCCCACCAGACTACCACTGACACTGCCCACCAGACTACCACTGACACTGCCCACCAGACTACCACTGACGCTGCCCACCAGACGGCTGGCCAGTAGCTATGAGTGGCAGACACGGAACGGGACTAGAGAAGGCCGGGGAGCGGGTGTAAGGGAGGGCAGAGCAGCAGCAGCGCCGGGCAGACAGGACGGAATACGGGAAGAGGAGAATGGGAATCTCAGAACACTGGATGAACAACATAGGCCTACTGATTTTTCAGCCTTCCGCCAAATATGACAAAAAAAATATTGCTCGAACAAAGAGGCAGTTGAACCATTTCCTCCAGGAAGGTTCTTCTTGAGCCAAGATTCATTAGCTACGATTTCAAGAGCTCGGCTCTTAGGGGGAGAGAGTTAGTCACGGAGGCTGCTTGCAGGCAGTCATATCCATTACAATTCGTATGGGGCCAGGATCCATCATGCTCTTACGTATACATTTACGAAACCTGTACATCTTTCCGCGATCGTGGCAGCTTGGTCTGTATTTATCAAACAGTTTACGAGTTTTGAAACTTCGCAGTTCAAGGTTATTGTTGTTGCAGACAACCGCTTAGTGCCTCGGAGCGTCTAAACCTTTTAATAATCAGCCACCATGATTGAGGAAAGATGTACAGATTTCGTAAGTGGACACGTAAAGGCTTGATGGTTCCTGGTCCGTACGAATTGTAATGGATATGATTGACTGCGAACAGCTGTTAGAAATAGTCTTACTGATCAAATTGTCACAAAGAGTAGAACTCTGGAAAGCAACTACACGAAATAAGGTAAGCTCCAGGAAATTTATTCATCTAGTTGTATTCACCTAGTTGTGCTTGCGGGGGTTGAGCTCTGCTCTTTCGGCCCGCCTCTCAACTGTCAATCAACTGTTTCTAACTACTACTACTACCTTTTTTTTTCCACACCACACACACACCCCAGGAAGCAGCCCGTGACAGGTGACTAACTCCCAGGTACCTATTTACTGCTAGGTAACAGGAGCATAGGGTGAAAGAAACTCTGCCCATTGTTTTCTCGCCGGCGCCCGGGATCGAACCCGGGACCACAGGATAACGGATATATATATATATATATATATATATATATATATATATATATATATATATATATATATAAATGTGTGTGTGTGTGTGTATATATATATAACCTGCGCTTGAAACCATCCAGAGGCCCCCACGTCTATCTTGTTACCGCTAATCTGTTCCACAAATCAACAACCCTGTTTCCAAACCAGTATCTGCCCCAGGTCTTTCCTGAATGTAAAGTTCTCTAGTTTACATGAAGGTGTGTGTGTGTGTGTGTGTGTGTGTGTGTGTGTGTGTGTGTGTGTGTGTGTGTGTGTGTGTGTGTGTGTGTGTGTGTGTGTGTGTGTGTGTGTGTGTGTGTTTACGTGTACATGTACATGTACTGGGTGCTCGTCATACATATGTAGTGGTTATGTAAATATAACACTCGCGTATCGTCTTGCTTCACTAAAATATTACAGAGCTGATTACTCTGGAGGTGACTGTTGTCGGCGGCTTTGTGGTGACACCATACACACTCGAGGGAGGGAGACACACACACACACACACACACACGCGCGCATGATCACAACCTACAAAATCCTCAGAGGAATCGACCGGGTAAACAAGGATAAACTATTCAACACTGGTGGGACGCGAACAAGGGGACACAGGTGGAAACTGAGTACCCACATGAGCCACAGAGACGTTAGAAGGAACTTTTTCAGTATCAGAGTAGTTAACGGATGGAATGCACTAGGCAGTAATGTGATGGAGGCTGACTCCATACACAGTTTTAAATGTAGATATGATAGAGCCCAGTAGGCTCAGGAATCTGTACACCAGTTGATTGATAGTTGAGAGGCGGGACCAAAGAGCCAAAGCTCAACCCCCGCAAGCACAAATAGGTGAGTACAAATAGGTGAGTACACACACACACACACGTATACACACACACAGGTATACACACACACGTATACACACACACACACGTATACACACACACAGGTATACACACACACACACACATTCACTCAATAAATCATTCGTACATAGATGAGGTGTATGTGTGTGTACACAATAAGAAGAGTGTAACAAGTGGTCCTGGCCGATGTGAAGAGTGTAAACAATAAGGCCTTTTAGAGCACCACCACAGTGATCCTCCCGTGTGAGTGTGTTGGGTGAGTGTGAGTGTGTTGGGTGAGTGTGAGTGTGTTGGGTGAGTGTGAGTGTGTTGGGTGAGTGTGAGTAGTGTACTGTATTCCCCTCCTCCTGGTGCTGACTCGGCCAAGCGCCCAGTTAAACCATATATCCCCAATGGTGACCTGGGTAACTTTTGATCACAACCAGAACCAGGCAAGATTCATTTACGAAACCTGTACATCATTCCTGAATCATTGCGTCTTTGTTTATCTTGACTAAACAGTCTGTGAGCTCCGAAGCGCTGCGAGGTTGTTAATAACAGTAATAACCTTGGGTTGTGAGGTTACAGACTTAAGCCGCCGTGATCGATGAAAGATGTACAGGTTTCGTAAGTGGACCCGTAAATTTGTTTCATGAATCCTGGCCCTCAGCTGGTGGTCAGTGGGCCATCCTGGAGTAAAGAAACATTCATTAACTCACCTTTTAATCGTTTATGGCCGGTTCGCCCTGGAACACCCCCCCCCCCCTCCCCCCCTCAAAAAAACCCGCAGATTTGAACGCTGGCAAAACGTTCCTTTCCCGAGGTAAAATTTAGGCACTTAAACCGACCGCCTGAAAAAGAGAACCGGTGTAATGAAAACAAATGACTGGTGAGATGCGCACAGGTGTGCCAACACGCGGGGAATCTGTCCGGTAAATTCTTTAAAAATAATGAACTTAGTAAGTTAAATTTTATTCGGTGGCTTACTAACCTGTTTTGACAGTGGCACAAGTGCCTGGTGTTGACAGCGGTCACCTGAACGTGGTGGAAGCTTTAGCGTAGTTTTTTTTTTAGGTTGTTAGTCTGGTGGAAGCTTGGGAGGTTGTGGTAACACGCTAAGGCGATTTGGGTGGGGGGTGGGGGGGGGGGGGTGTTAGGCCTATTACTGAAAAATGGGAAAAAGGATTGTTTGTAAAAGCACGCGTTTGCCGGACCAACCGGGCTACTGTTGATTATGTGGGCCTGCGGGCTGCTGCAAGCAACAGCCTGTTGGACCAAGCTCTCACAAGTCGAACCTGGCCTCGGGCCGGGCTTGGTAAGTAGAAGAACTCCCAGAACCCCATCAACCAGGTATCAACCAGGTTTCATTTTTATTTTGCGCGTCTTGGCTTTAGCTGAGGCGTGATCCCCCCTACAGCCTCGTGTCGTCATTAGGCCTTCTCCAGGGCTCTGTGCGCCTGTGTTCTCACGTTGTCTCAGACAATTTGTGCTGCTGAGCTCTGCCGTCGGTGCTGGACTCAATCACACGTGAGCCTTAATGTTGCAGTTGAGAATACAACGTGTTGGACTGGGGACACAAGTCTGTCCCGGGTTCGAACCCTGCACCATACTTTAGCATACAGTGTCTCTGTGATTGCCGTGCGTGGCAGTGTGGTGGTCACTCTCAGCAACAGGTATCCGTGTCGTGATTTATTCTGTAATGCTGAAAAGTTTGTTTTTTATAGATTTCCTGTTGATGGGGGACAGGAAGCCTGCACTTGGGCTTTCCGAGATCCTTCATCCCTAGGCCGACTACTGATCCGTCCTCAGGATGCAACCCACAACAGTTGCCTAACTCCCTGGTAGTTATTTAACTGCGAGGTGAACAGAGGCATTAGGTGTAAGGTCCCTCCGTGTCAGTAGTTGGCTTAGAATCTAGGATGCAAAACACAATAAGTTGCCTAGCACCTAGGTATCTAAGGAAAGGAAGCGTGCCCAACCGTTTATGTTCTACCTGGGATTGAACCCGGGTCCCTCGGTTGCGAGCCAAGGACATTGACTACTGAACCACAGGACTAAAAGTGGTCTAGAGTCAGCACCTGCAGCTGCTGTGTATGTCCTTGACCCCTGTAGCTTCTGGGTCGAGTATAGCTCACGTAATTAAGATGGTGATTTTCTTACAGTGTCTCATTGCCGCGGTAACCTACCGTGAGCTAGTTGGTGTAGCTTGTGATGGTGATCGGGTCGAGACTGTGATGGTGTAACTGTGAACGTGAGGGGAGGGGTGAGGGGTTAGGGGTGTAGGTACGGTGTTGACCGTGACTGGGCCCCAGCTGGTGGGTACCGTGGCCGAGCTCCTCGCCTACACGGTACATGCAGGATCACCCCTATCGATTTTGTCCACGTCAAGCGCTGTTCGCCAAGGTCAGGGCTACTTGAAATGTAATATATATTTACGGTGCTTGGTGTGAGGGGGGGGGGTCGTTGCTGTGCCTTGTCTAGTCTCGGGGCTGGCGTGAGGCCCTACGCTGCGGGAAGCAGCAGCTCGCCTGATCTAGAGGCTGGTGTCAGACCTCATGCTACTGGAGGGAGCAGACCTTTAGACCTTGGGGGCTGGTGTCAGGGGGCCCCACACTGCAGGAGGGAGCAGCCTGTCCAGCCTTTGGTGGGGCTGGCGCCGTCAGCCTCGCTGGAAAATGGCCATCTCACACACGGGCCTCATTAAACGCTAAATCTTGCTGGAATTTACCCGGTAATTCCCGCCAGATGCTACCAGGGCGGAGGGGATTGTGGGGATGAAGGAGGGGGGAGGAGGAGGAGGAGGAGGAAGAGAAACAGTAAAGATGAAGTATGCAGAAGGGAGAGGCTGGGAGGTGAGTATGGTCCTCAGAAGTAATCTACTGTGGATTTGGGAAGAAGAATGAACTTTGAGTTATGGGACGTGCTGTTGCTTCGCTAAGTGATGCTACTTTCTGGGGGTTTGTTTTAGGGCGCAACTATACCGGCTTCCCTCTTTGTGTATGATCTAATTTGTATACAAATAATGCCATGGAAACTGCATTGCCTCACGTGGGCATGGAAACATCTCTGGTACAAGCTCTCGCTTAGGTATTAGTAATGTAAATAACATCATAAAACAGAAAAGAGAGAGAGAGAGAGAGAGAGAGAGAGAGAGA